GGCCAAGTTAATAAAGGTGACTATCCTTCTTAGGGATTAGAAGAATGTGACTGCTCCCACCGAGGGAAAACGTGTGAAAACAAACAAAATACCCATAAAATTGCTGAAAAAGACAAAGATTTCACGTCAGTTCTAAACTACACCACAAAAAGGTATGACCTAAGGGCCTAAATTAGTATTTGACGTCAAAATACTGAAATATGAGAAATGTGAAAGAATGAGAATATGTGAGTTGGATCACTTCATGCTGATCGCTCATTTGCTGAAGTAAAGTGATAAGAAGATCGGGATCTTGGATTAGAGGAGAAAATATGAACACGAGAACGATTTATTTATTAACCACGACCATTCATAGGCCTACTGTCTCGTTGAAATGTGGAGTTCTATCGCTTATGGGTTACTCGTTGACGAGAACGGTTGTAAAATGAGTGGACTTTCCTAATTTACTGATTGTTGCTAAATTTATAACCTTTGTTGTTTGCTTATTTTCACAAGGTCTTAGTATAAATATGTTTGTATACTTAATTAAAGTCTATAATCATCTTATTAACTGGATGCTTTATTAATTCATTTACCCATATCCAAATGTAACTGAAGGATTATTTTTTGTTCAGATTTCAAAAATATAAACCACTTTGACAAATCTTGTAAAATTGACGACTACTAAAAGACTTCTTTAAGCTAATGACTGATTTTTATCTAACCGTGGCTGTATTATCATAAGCATATAATATCAAACTGAAAATAAATATAAAACACCAGTAAAAGCAAATGTAGGCCTAAATAGTTGAATGATAAAAGTTGATTAACAAATTTTAGTTTATTAACTATTTACAAGGTAAGGCCTGTATATATTTTAAACGAGGTCTTCAATGTCACTCATATCATCGTCTTCTTCGTCACTGCTGTCGCTGTTTCCTACTGATATGACCATTGATTCCACGAGGTCGTCGATCCGCGGCTCAGCTGAAGCATAATTATTTTCAATAGTTTTTACATGGTCGCACTTGTTTTTCCACTCTGTTGCACCAATGATATCAAATTTTTCCTGTGCCAATGAACGGATGCTCTCGAAGCTACAATTTACGTTACTGCTAGCTACGTAACCTTTTACTTCAGCCCAAATAAGTTCTATTGGGTTTAGATCTGGGTGGTAGGGGGGGAGACGAAGAATAACATGGTCAGTACCCGTGAGTAGTTCATCAATTTCATATCGAATGAATCTTGGTTTGTTCAGCAGTACAAGCTTATACAACTCGGGAACCAGCATTTCGTTTGAATATTGTATTCCATGTTTGGTTAGCCAGTCCTTCATTTCTTGTTTCCTACTATTTGATGTGGGTGCTTTGTCTAATTGCGCATTGTGATAAGGTGCGTTATCTACAACTATCACGGACTTCGGTGGTATGTTCGGCAGAAGTTTCTCTTTCATCCACTTGATCATGGTTTCCTTCCTGACATTGTCGTGATAATCACCCGTGGTGCTCGATGCCTTCCACATCGTCAATGCGTTAGGGACAAAACCAGCTTCACTTCCTGCATGAATCATTATTAGGCGTTGTCCTTTAGAAATGGGTACACGCATTCCCTTGGTTGAGTTGTCAGACCACGATAGACTTGAAACATGGCTTGTTAAAATATATGATTCGTCCATGAAAATAATAGTACGACCCTCATTTCTGAAACGTTTGACTGCTCTCAAATAAGAAATTCTCTTTTCCCGGATTTCGTTTGTCTCAATCAGCATTTTTCGGTTGTTCTGCGTTTTCCTCCATCTGAATCCAAGCTCCTTCAGAATTCTCCTAAGGCTTGATTTTGATCCTTTGAAATCTATCTGTTTTTTTAGTTCCTCGTGTAGTAAAGAAACTGTTGGTAGTATTTTATGTTGAATGTGGAACTCATACACCAAGCGTCTTATCAAAGCCTTATCAAAATCATCCACTCCAGTGACGGGCCTTTTTCTGCTTTCTTTTAACTTACTAGGAGTACAAAAACTTTTGTTGCTATCATCGTCATCATGTATTAGTAGTGCTTTAAGTTCGCCATTAATCTTCGTTATGACTCGCTCCGAGACCCCGATTGCCACTGCTGTTCGGGCGCGAGCTTTTGCCAAGGGAATGCTTACAGCTTTATCGTCAGCCTCTTTTTTCATAAACTGGTAAACATTGCTTACTATTTCCCGACTCTGTCCGTTCAGCGTCCTACCCTTCAACTTACTTTTCACTCTGTCACACATAATTCTATGTATGCCGAATACGTTAAAACACAGTATTAAACAAAAACACAGTTAAACTAAACTAATCTTTCCGTTAAACACACTCTGCTATAATAATATTTAGAAAAGAATATAAATATTTACTTTTTTCAATCATGTGATTCAATTAGAAATTCGATTATTCCAGCTAGAAATTTTATAGACCACTATTGGTGTGAGTGAGACCATAATGGAGTGAGTGAGCCCAAGTTTTATAGAATGGCTAGTAGCGTCAGATCCGCGCGCACAGACTAATGACACTGTCTGTACATTAAATATTTTTGGTCGAGTTTCGACCACTGGACGACCTCTAGAGGAGCACCCCCCGTGGTCGAAAAATCGACCAAAAGTATGTTTTGTGCAAACTTCTCTATACAATCGTCATACTTATTATTATGCTTATCCTCCCTTCATTTAACTAAGATTTTAATGACTTCACTCTATCTATCGCAGTTAGCTGAATTTACATAAGACCTCAAGATTGACCGTCGATTTCGACGGGGTTCCACTAGTTTTAAAATGAATTTCAACCAAGTCAGCAAATATTTGTTGCAAACTAACTGTTAAATTAGCAAACGTATTTACTGTTTAATTAACATATGCTCTTCTTCTCACTTTTGATTTCTGACAACAGCTGGAGTTTCATAACAATTTTTGTTTCCAATGTTAATCTTATGGAGAAATATGAAACTTTTAAGGGCTCCAGGGCCTCACTCTCTCATTATTTCCCTAAAAAGAAAGTTTCCTGCACAACTTCACGTTGTTACGCTCTTTCCAATGACACCAAAAACATGACAATCGGTTCAGTAGTTTCGGAGGAGTAATTGTTACAAAAAATCTGCTTGCGTATTAAATAAGTATATAATAAGTATAGATTCTGCTGACAAGTGATAGCTTACTTGTTGAAAAAATATAAGTTTATGAAAGTAAGTGGTATCACAGAGAAGTAAGAAACAGAGGATACATTCAATGGTGAACTTAAGTGGTGTCTGGACTGGAACCAATCACTGTTCAAGCTCTTTCTGGCAAGTTACAAGTACATTTCTACCCCAGGAGCCAACATGCATGGGTGCCCCATAATATTGTATCCTCTGTATATCTCACTTCTCTGAGGTTGTATCTAGTTGAGTTTAGTTTCTATAATATTATCAGCTAGTTCTATACTGGCTTTCTACAGTAGATTTAAAAACCACGGCTCTCTTCTGTGCCCTGCCCTTGCTGTAGAACATGGTTAAAGCAAAAGGGGGTACCAGGGACAGGGACTAGGAGAAATTGACTTGTCTATGCATTATACCATTTATACATAAAGGTGGCGAATAAATGTCATGTCTTACTAGTCTGGCCACTCAAAATATACTTTCATTAAAGAAGCCTGGCCACAGCTGGGATTAAATGTAAACATATTTTTTGTTGGATTGAAATCAAGTGCACTTTTACTTCACTTTTTGGCTATTTTTATGGAAGCTACTGTTTACATAAACTGTATTGATTAGTTGATTCGATACATAAAGTTATGGTATATAAGCGTAATATATGTTGGAAAAATATTCAATGAGCCGAATAAAAGTCATAATGCTAGGATGCTGCTAGTAACTTGCTAATAATTCATCTTACTGTATCTCTAAAAACCATAGACTCATGGCTGTTATCGTTTACTATGTAACACAGTTAGGCTAATAGCATAGATAAAACATACTCCCTTAGTAGATTTCTCATACTTATGGAACAGCTGAAGACAATTTTATTGTTAGTTCTGTACGGTTCAATGATTTATTTGGCCATTAAGCAAAAGCAATAGGCTAAGTCACTTACAATACAAAGTAAATAATAAATAGTCCATCTCTTGATTCACAAATAAAGTGCAAGTTAGATAAATATAATAATAAGGAAACAAATAAAACCATGCAAAACAAAACTGTAGCAAAACCATGAAAGAAAACAGGCAAGAAACGGAAGAAAATAGCCATGCAAGGCACTAAGGCAGTCAGTGCATGAGCATTACCTATAACAAAACTGGTAGTCCTACTTTATAAAATAAAATTGTATGTAGAGGTCGTGTTTTGTTTACAATTTGTTTCCCGTTATTACAGCCATTCAAAACCTCGTTTAACCAAATAATACGATCTAATCATAAACAATAACTCGTCCCCTAGTTATATAACCAAACAGTAAAGTACAAATCAAGAAATTAAATTAACCCTAAAATAATAGAAACAAAGTTTCGTCGACACTAGCGCCCATGTGTCACATACATGAACTAGACACTTCACAATGGGGTGTAGTCACGACCGCCTTTAACTCCAGGCCGCGGCCTTCGAACTGGCAACGTCGCAAGTGGTGTTGTAACAGCTGTTTTTGTTTGGAAGTAGCTAATGGTATTTTGTGTATTTACGAAAGATTGGTTACTGGACTATGACAATATTGACTCCGCTTAAAAATGTAGATATAGATTTTAATTCATATTGTTTTGGTTTTCAATTATGTATGTTTCATTTTCAACATTTTAATAAATTTATGTTCATAAATTTTAATTTAAATAAATAAAGTGCGAATTAATGAGCTGATGTCACCTGTCTGCCATGTTATCTTATGGGACGTCTGTCACTGAACAACACCACTTGTGAGTGTGACGTTGCCAATTCTACCAGGCCGCGGCCTGTAGTTAAAGGCGGCCGTGGGTGTAGTTGAGGCACAAGAATGAAAAAAAACCATTTTGTTCTTCTTCTTATACTCTTAGAGAGAGACATCATAACTAACCTAACCTCAGTCAGTTGTCAATAATAATAATTAATTTGTTTCTTGTTTCTAACATCAGTTTTATCAAACTATTTGTTTTAAGATTAGCTTATATCAAGACGATGTAAGATCCTTGCTCTGAAACCAAAACTAGGACCTTTTTATATCACAAAGTTAAAGTGGAAGCGATTGCCTACCCTGTTATTGAACTTAGGTATGTATAATATAAATTCAATGAGATTTATTGCAGCCATTAACTTACGCATTACCATATAGGCCTAACAGGCCTAGGCTAGGCCTAACCCTTGAGTTGGTTAGTCTATGACATTACACACTATTCATAATGGGCGTTGTTACATTAGAAAGAACTGAAGTATGACTAGGCCTAGGCCTACAGTTAATTGAAATAAAGTAAGTTTAGCCATAGATTAAACATACTCCCTTAGTAGATTCTCCGCGGGATAGGGGACGGTAAGTTCGAGCGCTTGTACGGCGAAGTTGCGTGCTGCCCACGTAGTTCAGTACGGTCAGGCTAGGAGCGCTAGAGGTCTCGCCGTACAGCCACACGTACAAACACACTCTTTACCGCGTTATAGCTCTCACACGCACGTCCACAAGCCCCGCGCGCCCAGCTGCACGCCAGCACTGAGCACCAGCGAGCAAGGAGTACCACATTGGCACATAGGCCTACACACGACCACGACACTCACACCCAGCTTGATTCCATACAGCGTGATTTGTACGTGCAGAGCCTCGGCTAACTGTATTTCAGTATTTGTAACACCAGTGTTTTATTGCGATTGTTCTAGTTTAGTAAATGTGATGTTGATAATTAAATTAATTGTTCTTTTATTTGAATAGCCATCTATTGTATTTGTTACTTGTGAGTATTTTTAACCGACTTCCCCACTACCAACAAAAGAATGAGGTTCTCAATTCGTTTGTACCAATGTATTTTTTTTCTATAGATGTTCATCAATTTCTCTGGGATTTTTATACCGATCAGCGTGGTTACACTCCCAAAATAACCATGGTTTCCCTTTGGTACCATATATAACATTATGTTTAAGTGTAGGCCTAAATATTGGTTCCAGTGAAAAAATGCTGAAAACCTTTATAAAATATTTATTTTGTTAATATTTTACAGAGAAACCAATTAATAATAATAATATTCTTACAACTGTTAGTTGAAAAGATGAAGGTACAGAGACAGATCTTCATGAAAAAGTTGCTTAATATATTTCATGCCATGGAGCCTAAATAACTGACTCTGAGTTTACTAGGCTTTTGTTTTGGTTACTATGAAAAAGGTATTTCAACATTTGACCTGCATTTTTTATAACTCCGTTTTTAGTATTGAAATTGTATTCTGTTATCAACGCCATAAAATAAACATCATAACAATAAAATTATAGTATATCATTGGTAACATTATTCCAATCGAACAATACACTTATTTCCTATTGATTTTTAAGACATAAAACTTTTAGGCTACGTCGGTTTACAAAAAACATGTTTGGCTGCAAAAGATAGGTAATAGGGTATAGTGTGGTAAAAAATAGAGTTCATACCACGGACCGAAATGGTTTTGCAGCTCTCGATCGATTTAATTTCTGGCAATCCCAATTCATCACCTCGTTTACCAAATTTTTATAACCAGGAATTATGTAACCTGAACAGGTGACTCAAGAAGTTTTAAAATAATAACTGTTCAGTATCGGTCCAAACAATTTTGCTTTTAAAAACCCTTTAAGTAATAAATATGTTACAAATTAGAATTAAGTCACTAATAAGATGAAATAATTTATCTTTGTAAAAAAAACAACCGATTTCAAACCCTCTAAAATAATAAAAACAATAAAATCATAACAGGATAGCTAACATAAATATATAACAAACATAAGCACTGTTTTTTATACCAAGGAAGTATTTACTTGTATTTTATATTTACTTCTGAATGATGCAATATGCAACTATGACACACTAATTGTATAGGCCTATATGAATAAGAAACAAATTATGTTGATATTATGTTAGGGAAAAGAGGCTAGGTCAATATTAAAACGTTATTATCCAAATTAAAAATATTTAAATGCATAATCATTAAAAGATACTAGTTAATATCACTATAGGATTATAATTTATTATCTTATAAAAAAAAACTTTAAGAAGGTATCTGCCAATGATGGGTTACAATAATAAAATAACTCTAAACGCAAAACTCTGAAAAAACATGAAGATTAACATCATTAGTTATAGATTACCGCCTGCAATGTGGACATCCTCTTTAAATTTTCAGTATGTTGTGTCAAACATCATCATAGACTTCAAATACGTGAACTTGAACATTACAAAAGTTTACTTTGAAAGATTTATTTAATTATTTTTAGAGTGTTTAAAGTAGGTTGATTTTTTTTACAAAGATACATTTTTAGAAGTTTACAACTGTTAGTTAAGGAATTTATTATTGTGATATATATAGGCCTATACAAAATTCTTAGGTTTTCTCTTCTTAGTTATACGAGTCGGTTCGGCTCTTTTAACAGACCGATTTTCATAATTTTGGTCTAAAATTCAAGTTATACACGCACAGATTTGCCATCAAGCATCGGCATTCGTCTATCTAGAGTCTAATTCAAGTTATGCACAAACGAAACTTCCTCCATGTACATTTCTTTTAGGAGTTAAATTTGGTATTTCTTTTCCGATTTTCTTCTCCTGCATGCAGGATCTCAAGACAGTCCGGACTCTCAGTGGTTAGGAAATAGTGCTCAAAAAGCGATTGTGAACTGTGATGAGTCGTGCACGGAATCAGGGAGGGTTATCCTAGTCTACGCCACAAATAGGTTATACAATAACCATGTAATCAACCCATATCAACCATGTACCCTGCAGCCCAACATGTTAAAACATTCTTGAAACTATTTCCGAACAAATGCGAATTTCCCATATAGGGAATAAGCTATTACCGTAGTACTCATGGTAAAACCTGGACCCGGGGCCGATTTAATTATTTTGCTTTGAGGTCCCTAGAGGCCGTAAAACACCATCCGTTGAAATTCATCGCGCAAATCGCGTATATATATATTATGTGTCCGTTAGCGCGATAACTCGAGCAAAAATGGTCCGATTTTTATGAAATTTAGTACAATATTTCTATGTAAAAAACGTTATAAACTAAAGAAAACAGTGAGTGTAAATGCACGTGTCTGGCGGTAGCTTCCGATGCAACGTCACATGGTGGCGGGGTTGGAAGGGCAGCATCAGGCGGCACGCGTTCACTACAAAGGACTGGGCTAACCCAAGGTCACACTATAGTGTACGCACCCACGCACCACCGTCACCGCGGACCAGGTGAAGAATACTATTCTTAATTCGATTATTTTTTTACATTTAGTTTTGCATTGCAGTTGTTTTTTTTATTATTTCAATTTAAAAATTGACAAACAACTTATTTTATTAACACTCTAAGCATTGCCTTACAATATTTTATTACAAAACCGTACACCTACTTTAAACCGAACCTGCTTGAGGCTGTTTGATTGCGCGGACTGCAGGAGGGACTTGATGAAGCCACTATGGACTTCTGACACTAGCGGAGTTCAGTTTTGATGCCGTTTTAAAGAAAAGCATCCATGTTTTTAGGTTCAAAAACACGGTACTGTTAAGGATGCGCTCTGCCTCAGCTCAGAAATCTCAACTCGGGCCAGTAGATATGTTGCGCCATTGAACAGCGCCACGAGAAGCGCTTGTAGACGTTTTAAGTCCTCTTAAATAACTCACTTAACTTTTGAAATATTTTTCATCTGAAGATTGTTCCTTACTCCTTAGATTAAAATTTATGACTCTAGCTTTTTTGATTTTCTTCAAAAAATGTATTTGTATGTGTAAAATGCGAACCAAACGAACCCGGCAAAGAAAAACCAATTTAACTTCCATAAGAAATACATGGGGAGAAAATTTTGTTTACATATAAGCCGAGTCATACTACAGATACTATACTATAGACAGATGCCGATGCTTGATGGCAAATCTGTACGTGAATACCTTCAATTTGAGACCTCAATCATGAAAATCGGTTGGGTAGAAGAGCCAAACGAACTCGGAAAAGAAAACCAAATTTTTTTAATATATAAGATTTATGTTTTTTAATTGAGTAATACAGTATTTTGAGCAGAACTGATACGAACGACCTATATCTCAAATGAAAGCTTTTATTTCTAGGAGTATTGTAAGAACAAAACATATAAACAAACTAAAATAAAAATGGGGTTATTGATCACTGGTCGTCGGTAAATCCCAAAATAATTACATTTTTTATTGTTTGGAATTCAGCAGCGCGCTTCAGGTACGTCCGATCTTAATAATCAAGGGCTCAAATGAATGCTGGTATTTCACTGAAGGTTCTTAGACCAAAACATATAGGATTACGTAATTATAACTGAGGAAATATATCTTCAATTGAAGTAACAATTTAAAAAAATCTAATTTATGTTTTTTGGTCAAGTAATACTGTACATAAATGAATGCTGATGCTTGATGGCAAACCTACGCGTGCATACCTTTAATTTAAGACCAAAATTATGGAAATCGGTCGAGTAGAAGAGCCGAACGGACTCGGAAAAGAAAAACCGATATTTTTTAATATATAGATTTCCTTTGGATCCTTAAATTTAAATTGTTTATAAATACTTACCTAATGTTTCGCAATTACTTTCTAATACAAATAATAATTAATTGCATTTCCAGTTCATAGAGCGTTTAATTAGAGCAAAATTAAATTCTCAAATCACATACATTACTTTATGCATTCTTCTTATGCATTATTAAAACAAAACTTTGCGATGTTTTTTGCCAGTAACAGTCGTACACTACTGTCGAATACGGATTTTTGAGTGTCCATGAGGATTTTATCTCCGCCCGACAAAATTAAAAGAAAAACATGTAATCTGGGGAAAGTATGAATTATGTAGGAAATAAGGGTTTATTTTTTATTATTTATTTAAAAATGATTCGTTGGTAATGACTAATGAATGAATGATCGGTTATTTATAGTAGGCCTACACTATACACCTTTTATTCCATGACTATGAGCTTCTTTTGTACTTCGTATAAAATAACAGAAAAACTATATTCGCGTATGATTGTAAAATGTAAGGGATTAGCTGCTAGTGAGTGCTTCGCTGTGCTGGCTGATTAGCTGTACGGCAACAA